TTGAACACCCTGTAGACTGTTCCCTAAAATACAAAAGAAAGAAAGAAAGAAAGAAAGAAAGAAAGAAAGAAAGAAAGAAAGAAAGAATATGGACAATTCATTCATTCACTCTGTGCATGTTGTATTTGTGTCTGTGTATCTGTCTGTCTGTCTGTCTCTCATCAAATGTGGTCACATTGTCCTAGGTCTTATAGGGTCATTCAGGTCTACTGGACTGGCAGGAATTATTTTACAGATCCAATCAAAAGCCATTAAGTCTGTAAAGATAGTGAAGCACTGTTGTTCAGCACGGCATTGGAGAGCCCAAGGGACGTAATGCATCTGTTTTTCAATATCTGAGGCCGTTTTGTTTCCTACTTTAATTGTTCTTATGTATTGGTTTCCGGTGGAAGGGCTCCACTCATCACCGACCTGTTTCTGCTATTCTAGCATTAATAACAAGCTTCAGAGTGACAATTACAGTGTGTGGTACACAGTGATTTTCCTTAACTACATAGAAAACAATTTTATTCTTATTGATTCAATCAAAATAACTTTGAAAGAAATGGTTGTGCTTATTGAATTCTTTTCATAAAGGTGAGTGCTAAAATTTAAATTTTTTCAACATCATTTTTATTATTTTATAAATTTAGGACAAGATCTACAGAGTATATAAGGTCTCACTATGAAGATCTGACTCCTAGGGATTCTCCTGTTTTCAGCCTCCCAAGTGCAGGGTTTACAGCATGTGCTACCACACCCATCTCAGTCTTAGTCTGAGCATGCCCTGGAGGAGGGGCTGGCATGGCACACTGGGGACTGAACCCCAGCCACTGCACTCTGTGGAAGCAGGTGCTTTAGTCTGCTCAACTATCTGGCCAGCCCTGCAACATTATTTCAAAAACCTGGTATATAATCTCTGCTGATTTTGTCATTCATGAATGCTGGCCCATTCTTTTGAAATAAATAAGTTCTATTTGCTTCATCTTTAATTTTTTAAGGAGAATAAAACAGTAAAAAATGAAACCAGAAGCAATGCAGACTTTTGCTGAACAAAATGATATGAATTCAACAATGGTTGTTATACTGCACAGTGTTGTCTTCAAATTAGTTGTTCAGATGACCAGATATAAGCATGCAAAACTGGTCCAAAAAAATCAAAAGAGATAAAGGGCTTTTTTTTCAAGCAAAGAAAGGGAGATTTTTACTTAGAAGAATATTATCACAATGCTCTCTGCAAGACATAGAGTTGCCTAGCAATGGGAATTTAAAGAGAGAAATAATAACAAAACAGAATGTTGTGAAATTACAAGAGGTTGTACTGCTAAATTGGATTGTAATACTTACCAAGAAAGCTTTAAATTAGAAAAGATATAATGCAATTTTCCAGCAGCATTATAAAAGATGGCTGCTGATTTTTCAGTTCTTTCATTTATTTAAAACAGTTTGGGCTGGCCGATAGCTCAGCAGACTAAAGCGCCTGCTTAGCCAAGTGCAGTGACCTGTGTTCAATCCCTGGCATACCGTGCCAAGCCCACCCCTGGGGTGCATTGAGATGGTGACTGAAACTAGGGGTGGTGCTGAGCACCTGTAATCTCAGCACTTGGGAGGCTGAAAACAGGAGGATCACTAAAGTCCAATATGTGTAGTGAGACCCTGTAGATCCTGTGCTAAATACATTAAAATGAAAGAAAGAACAGTTTACATAATGGGATTCTGCTATGCCGAGTTCATGACTAGGCAAAATCCAGAACATAGACATCTGGGAATAAATCATACAGTCCCAGAAAGCAACTGGTACTTGACTTTTTTTTAAGCTGGACTAGTTGAGTGTAAGATATATCAACATTTATATTTTGACATTGTTTTCAGGTTATTGCTCATATAGTAGGACGCTATTGCTTATACAGTAGGTCCCTATTTTCAGAGCTTTCTGAAATTTTTATGCTAAGTGAGAGTGTTATTTTGTCATACTTAATCTCTCTCAAAATCAGTAGACATACCAAAAGGTCTCTGAGATCCCAAACTTGAGGGACCCAAGTTAGAAACCAAACAGCATGATTTGATTTGTACTTTTCGCATTCCCTTGATTATGATAAATGCTTTCAAGAAAAGAAAAAGTCTACCTGCACTTTCTCTTGATTATGCCAAATGCTTTCAAGGAAAAAAAAAAGTCTACCTGCATCCTAGGATCACCTGCATCACCTATCTGTGTAAGAAATATGACGTCAAATGAGACACTGGCTCTTACAGAGATGACAGACATAGCAGTAAAGAACAGAATCTTAAGTGGTGGATGTGTAGAACTATAAACTGAGGAAACTGAAATCCTAAATTGATGCATAATGGAAAACAATAAGCCATATGTAGAAACCCTTGTGTAAGCAGGAAAATTTGTGGAGGCTTTGATTGGGAAGGAGAACACTTGAGTAGCTAAGGAAAAGAGGCTTGTAGTGTGGAAGAATGCACCTGAAGTCACAAGAGAAAAGTATCTGGTTTCTAGAAACAGTAATGTTCTGAGATAGTGACTCTTGAATTTCAAGATTTTTTTAAGGTTTAAAATAGGGCTAGTAGATTATCACTAAAGTGTATTTTAGTTGGCAAATTGATTGTATGACTGTGGTCTGAAGAACTACATTTCTAAAATAGGTACCCTTTTTTCTTCCTCATATAACTGCAATTCTAATCTAGAGTAAGTAGGGAATTCTGAGAGAGATTTGGGACACTTATCTCCAAAGTTTTGAATTTTTATTGCAATCTCATATTACTTGAGAGCAGCATAATGATTATAATTGTTCCTGAATATAATGTCTACTCCTCTATGATTTTCTTTATTGACTCTGTCGGATGTAGATACCCCTCTTCTTTGCTCCTGACGTGGTATGTCTCTAGATGCTCTTTGAGCTTTGCTGCTCCTTTTCCCTTGAGAATTCCCCCATTTTCACAGCTTACTCCTCCTCTTCTTCCTCTTCCTCCTCCTCCTCCTCCTCCTCCTCCTCCTCCTTCTCCTTCTTTTTCATTTATGTATTTGGTACAGGGTCTCACTATGCAGCTTGGACTCATAGTGAACTTCCTGTTTTCAGCCTCCCCAGTGCTTGGATTGCAGGCATGCACCCCATGCCCAGACTTAGTCACTGGCTCAGCGTGCCCTGGCGGTGGTGCCAGCGGAGCATGCAGGACCGGGGATTGAACCCTGGTCCCTGAGCTTGCCAAGCCAGGTGCTTAGTCCACTAGCTATCTTGCCAGCCCTTCCACTGCTTAATCCTTTACTGATGACCAAAGACATTCTTCTGTCCTGAATTCTGCATCCTTATCTATATTTTTTATTAGACCCCATAAGCAATTTCAACTCAGCCTGGCATACCATCTCAGATTTTTTCCTTGTGAATGTAATTATCTGTACTAATTATATTAGCCTTCTTGTAAGAGGTTTTTATTTTTCCATATTCATGCAACCAATGATATTAAATAGGCCCTGTGTTGATATTTACTGAAGTTCTTTTTGTATTAGACTTCTAGTTACTTTTTCTGTGGCCATCAATCCAGAAGCAGGCTTCCTTTTCTTTCACCCTAGTTATCCAGGTTTCATTCTCCACTCTTGCTTCTCAATTCTATTCCAATCACTCCTGTCAGCCCCGAACTTTGAAGCACAGCTCCAGCCCTGGCACTTACACAGCAGTGTAATCAGTCCCCACCACCCAACTACGCTTGTGAAGCCCTTCTTAATATTGCTTTAGAGGCCTTCCATCCCACTGATTAAACTACATTTTATTTTTATATGTTGCTGGTCTCTTAGAATAATCTCAACCAAACTAATTTTTTGCTTAGCAATATTAAGCTTTCTTTCATTAGCTATTATACATGACTTGAACACAGCTTTGATGCCTCTCAGTGCCCTGGATGGCAGCATTATTTTTGAACCCTTTCTCATATCATCACTTGCAGGGCACCTTTCCTAAAAGTCCTACACAGATGTAACCTTTTCTACTATTGTTCTATAGTATCATATTCCTCTCTGTCGGCATTTTTCCTATGTTACTTAGTGCAGTATTTATTGGTGTGTTTGTCTTACTCTTTTCCATGGGTGTGAAGCCCACTCAAGTTTTCTATTTTTTAACACTCAAAAAGGTCTAACTTAGTATATTGAGTGTCATTGCTATGCACACTGTTAATACATTGAACTCCTGAAATTTCCTAATTATATTGAGGTTTTCTGACTTACACAATAGTTAACCTTTAGTGAGTTGATGAAGTCAGAATTAATGAAATCAGTAATCTAGGTTAAGATCAAACTGGATCTGATTTGAACTACTAGAGTTCTAAGGCACAAACTCTCTACCATACATTAAAATATAGAAGTTATACATTTTCAAGGTTTTAAGTTGAATGAGCTCACACAGTGCTCCCTCTCATATAGTGGTGCTCAACGAACATTAGATAGTATTACATTAATTCTCAGCATTTCTAATGTCTCAGCCAAGCCACCCAAACTTATAAAGATGCTGCTGAAACCATTCCACATTGCAGATCCTGCCAGAATACAGTGATTTAATTTGGGAATCGTCATCAAAAGAAAGTTCTAGAGGACTCAGAAAGCACCAGCTGTGAAGAATAAAGTACAGAAGAATAAGATCTAGGAGTAAAGATGAAAGGAATTGAAATTATGGTGCTTAAAATGATTTTTGATGAAAGACTTAATATTTGACTCAAAAATATTTAAAATTCCAAAAATGAAAACAGTAATTGCCTGGTTTTATTTCCAGTGAGAATATCAAGTTACACATGATAGTAAGTGCTTAAAGTTATATGGAGTGAGAAAAATGCCTTCCATATTGGAACAGACTACCAAGGGAAATTTGGAGTCATTTAAAAATAAGCTTGAATCTTTTATGTCTAGCATGATGTAAATACAGTTTCATACAAATAAGGCTATAACAGCTGGTTTTAAGTCTTCTCCAGACACGTAACAAGGTGAATCTCTGGGCACTGCCTTGGCTTCTCCTGAAGCCCCAAACTCTTACCTGAACTCTCGTCTAGACTTTCCTCAGAGATGTGCTCATTTTGGTGGACCCATTCTCCATTGCATTTGAAGAATATCTGCATGGCTGGTCTTGCTTTGCACCTGAGTGCAATGGGGTTGCTTTTGATGATATATGCATCATCTGGCTCCTCTATGAAATGAGGCAGTGTCCCTGGAGCTGAGGGGATGGATTCAGGAAGAACTTCGCCACTGTCGGTTCCTGCAAAATTGAAGACAGATGACATTAGAATTGCCTATGTTGACAACTCATAAATGAGAAAACAGTGCAGAAACCACCAGGCCTAAGAAATTGAGCTGATAATTTTTCTTCAGGTTAACACTGCAGGCTTATAAGCTCTGCACAGCGCAACTGTTTTCTAGAAGCAAACCATAGTATGGTATATTTCCAGGTGGACACACATGTATTTGTTGAACAAAGCATAGTAATGGATGGGAGAACCCTTGAGTGTCTACAAAAAGAACTGGGGAAAATATTTGTGGAGCTTGAGGTTGAATATCAAATTGCATTCTGCTGAATGGTTGCCCCAGAAGTTTCAGGGAGGATCTCACATTGCCCAGAAACCTTGAAAATCTGGAGAGATACATGTTGTCCTCCCACAGATGTATGCAAATGACAATAGAGACATTGGAGGACAACCAGAAGATAGTACCCAAATTCTAATTTTTTTTTTGAACTGGGAATTGAATTCAGGCTCTTGCACTTGCCGGGGAAGTGCTTATTCCACTGAGCCATCTCCCCGGCCCCATAAGGATTTTTTTTTTTTTTGCTTCGAATGTCTTCAGAGCAGGTTTGGCTGGCCTGAGTTGTGGGGATTGAACCACAGCAACCTGAGCCTGACTGCTTTATTGAAGCAGACACTTAAAGAACTGAGCTATGAGGCAGGCCCCCCAAATTCCATTTTTTTTAAACTTGCTACTTTGAGGACTGTCTGGTGTCTTTCCTGGAATAACCTGTCAACCGCCTACCCTTGAAATGAAAACAGTTCTGCTTGCCTATGGCCCCCACTCCTCTCCCAACACTTGTCCATGAGATACTATGGGTTTTCCCTACTAAGGCTGTGAACTAAAACCAACCACTAAATGGGTCTGACTGTCAGTAGCTTTGCTGACATCTGTCTGACAAGGGGAAACAGTTATGGTTCTCCCTTAACTTTAACTGACCAGGTATCATAAAAGTATAAGCCTGAGTCAAGATTTTGATTTCTTGAGCAAGCACAAAAAGGAGTGAATGCTGGGGGTAGGGAGTGTTGGTAAGGCCTGGGGCAGAAGAACTGTGTAATTTCGAAATCATCCCACTGCAAGAGTGAAGAAAGTCAAGATTTCAACAGCAAGATCATGTCTATCCTCCATAAGGTCCTTTTCAGGGAGACCAATTCTGTCTTTTGAATTAAACTGAGGAAAATAAGAGAGCCACTGGAAGAACCATCCTTCCCATTAGATCACCTCCCAGGAGAAAGCCTAGCTATGGGATCCATCCTGTCCCTAGCCTGGCTTCCTGCCTACTGTCACTGAAAGCCTGAGCAGAGTCCCTAACTATTCATACTTAAATCAACACCCCAAATGACTAAGCATTATAGGAGGTAAACATAATTCATTGCTAGTAGGGGTAATGTTTTGTTCTAAGAACTTTTAGGACAAATTCCCAAATATTCAATAAACAAAATAGACTGGGAGAAAAATGGACTTCAAGGGGTATTGTATATAAAGAAGAAAATGAAAGACACCAAGCTGTCAAAATGACTCCTTCACCCTGGAACACACAAGCAAGATTAACCACTGCAATGAATTAAACAAAATAAGAGCTAGATTCTCCTAAACAAGAGATTTTTTTTCCCATTAAATACATCAACTGAGGGCTGGTGAGATGGCTCAGTGGTCTAAAGCACCTATTTGCACCTATTTAGAACAAGCTTAGCAAAGCACAGGGACTGAGGTTCAATCCCCCAGCACCACATGCCAGCCAGCCGCGCCCCCTGGTGGGCTGAGCTGGCCACACACACACACACACACACACACACAAATAAATAAAAATTAAAAAAATAAATACATCAACTGAAGGCAGAGGACCTAAACAGCTGCATAAAATTTTCTGTATAAAAACAGAATTTAAAATATTATAAGACTTATTACATTTACAATGAAAAAGCTAACTCTTGTGTAAGCAATTCAAGTATTAGAAAATTGTAAAGCAAATGTTCTAAGATGCACAAATTATTTAATGAAAATATAATACATCCCCTCAGAAAATACAATGTGTATGTATCACAGGAAGTAAAAGCAGTTTCAGGATATATTCTCAGGAATATGTGCATGTGTATGTGTGTTAAAGTATGAAATGATTTTTCAAATGGACTTCATAAAATATATCCTATATTAATTTATTTTATTGCTGACTGTTCCTGCCAATTTCCATCTTCAATAAATACCAAGTCCCTGCAGGCTTTTGTAAATCCATGCATTAGAGGAAATGACAAAGGTATTAAAAGATTTTATATAGGCATCAAATGCTCACACTCCCACCAAGGGCTTGAGCCCTGTCCAAAGTAATTTATTGTTTCATGAAGAGATCACCTGATTAAGAACACACAGGATTTCCAAACCTGAGAAGGTAGACAGTACAAACCACAGAGACACATTTTGATGGATGAAATTCTGCTTAGCTAGTGGCAGTATGTGAATATGACTAAAGTAACTATGGTAAGTGGGAGAGAGAAAGGAGAAGGGGTCATAATCTATAAATAGTGAAATCACATATAAGTGTGATAAATAAAATGTCAAAAACAAAGGTCATAGATGATATAATTAATCAAGCTTTAACTAGCCAATTCACAAAACACAGAGGGATCTAGAAGCAATTAGCTTTCCATCCCGTCACTTTAACAAATGCCCTTTAGATAAACTAGTAAGTTCATCCTTCATGAGAAGCAGCAGGAAAATGGAATATAGAAGTCTCAGGGCAAGTGCTCTGGCTGCTCAAGGAAGCCCCTTAAGAATCAATAAATCTTAACATTCAAAGGACAGAAATAAAAGGTAGAGTGTAAAATTTTATTGCAATTATTATTGAAGCAGTCAAAACCATGAGTGCATCCAAAAGGCCTGGAAGCCATGTGTTTATTAGCATGGCAGTGAAAGGGGAGAGATGATAGGTATGTACTTGTAGATGTATTACTACTGGTCTGTATCTATTTATGAATTAAATGAGGGGAAGTGGTTCAAGAATTCCATGTAGTATCCTCTTTTGCTTATATTTATACAAAGAAGTGTTGGAGATCTAGTGCTTTCATTTATTTATTTATTTATTTATTTATTTATTTTGGCAGAACCAGGGATTGAACTCAGGCCCTTGCACTTGCCAGGCAAGTACTTATTCTACTGAGCCATCGCCCTGACCCCTGTTTCCTCTCCCTTCTGCTCTCTTTCCCTGCTCCCTAGGGCCTTGCTGGTTAGGACTGGAATCCTGGGATAGCAGCACTCTAACCTGCAACTGGCTTCCTTGGAGCTCTAAGGCAGAACCCATGAGCAGGCTGCCTCTTGGGAAAGACACCCCAATCTCACTCCATGACACCTGCTTTGTCTGGCTCCATGAATACCTATCAGGATCAGCCCAGGTTTTGGGTTAGAACTGAAATTGTCAGAAAAGTACTGGGGGGGGGAGAAATAAGCATTTCTACTTATTTAAAGGCACTGATAGTTACATAAAAAGAAGAGAGAAGGGGAAGAAGAGGAAGGGAAGAGAAAGGATAAGGGGAAGGGAAGTGAAAGGGATAGGGGAAGGAAGAGGAGAAGAAGGAGAAGGAGAAGGAGAAGGAGAAGGAGAAGGAGAAGGAGAAGGAGGAGAAGAAAATGAAAAGCAATGTGACTAGGAACAGGAATGATTTTAAGGCCTTAAAGTTGCTGACAGATTGTGTGCCCTAGAAGGGATTAGAGGGGGTGGTCATCTACCTACAAAATTTCATGAAGGTCTATCTGGATGCTCTTCTGGTTTAAGAAAAATTTACTCACAATCTCAAAACTTTCTTCTCCACTTCATAATTCTGAGAAGAACTTTAAGTCTCTGTACAACAAATGATAGTGACAAATGATGGCCAAGGCCTTGCGCACACCAAGTGCACAGAAAAGACTGGGAAAGTCATGGTACTCAGCTGATATCCTCGGAGTGTAGCACAGTAAGATGACACTTTGAGACATGTACTCCCAGATAATGAGCTTTAAAAAGCATTTCTACTTATTTAAAGGCACTGATAGTTACATTTTCTGTTATTGGTAGCAGGACATATTCCTGGTCAGTACAGCTCAATCTTCCCTCTTAAAATACAACACAACACAGAGCCCCAATCTTCAGAAATTTTAACACTAATTATAGTTAAGTAAAGAAATTGATAAGCTAAGAAACATAAAAGTTATGTTAGAGGAAAGTTAGAATAAGAGGCCAGCAACATAGCTTAGTGGACTAAGTGCTTGCTTAGGCAAGCACAGAGACCAGGATTCGATCCCTGTGTACCACATGTCATGCCAGACCCTGAACCCACGCACTCTGAGCTGGCCACCCATCAAGTCCACGTGTGGTGGTGCACACTTGTAATCCCAGTGCTGGGGAGGCTGAAAACAGGAGGATCACTATGAGTCTGACCTGCATAGTGAGACACTGTACCAAATACATTAAAAAAGAAAAGAAAGGATAAGATCTGCCGTTTATGCAGTGATTAAGGTTACATTGTTCAGTCTTCTATGTAGAAGCTTTGTGAAAACTGCTTCAGGTGGGTACTTGAGTATTATATTTTGCATGTGAGGAAATGCTAAAAGTATATATCCTGTGTCACACTGCACAGCCAGTAAATGGTGAACTCAGATTTTGAACACAAGCATCTAACTTAGACCAGCTCACAATTTCAATTTAGCTCACATGGCTGAACTTCCGGAAGACTGATACTAGAATTTAATGACTACATGCCTTAGGGTAACAGCTCACAGTTCATAAGACCACCAGAAGACGGTATAAAAGGATACATTATATATCCGGTAATTCATCTCTTTCATTAAGTATTACATTTATCTCAAAGGTCACTCAGGCATCCTATCAGCTGGATGCTGATGTCAGGATGGCTGTATATGGACACAATCTAAAAGAGGTCTTGAGAAAATAAGTATTTGCATGAAAGAGAAAGAACTCAGCCAACTTAACAGGACTCCTCATGAAAAATCAAAAACAAGGTAGGGCTGGAGA